ACTGCCTTCCCAGATTGCTCTGCAGTTTCCATTCTGTTCATATTATTACAAATCTCTTTCCCAGTAAACACCGTATCTTTTCCACATTTGGTTACTGCTTGTAACAAAGGGTTCTATAATGAGGAAATGTAGACTTTCTCTTGCAATTTATGTGTGCGTGTGTTTAAGACAGAGAAAGAAATTAGAGATTGGACATCCCTGCCTTGAATACTCATTTTAATGAAGTTATGACTGTATGTTTGGCACACATGAGTAGTATCCATGCTGAAGAAGAGGCTATACAAATTACAATTTTGCATAAATGAATAATTTCATATATGCTGATAATTCATGCACTGTCAAGCAATCCAAAGAACATTGATACTCTCCAAGATTTTTTTCTCACATTGCTCAAAAGGCCAGGCATGAGTTTATACATATACATATATATACTTTTTTATACATGTGAGAGGAGAATGAACAAATGGATACAAGCTACAACTCCAGGTCTGACCTTCAATATATGCCTGCTTTCTGTGTCTCAGCAGATCAGAATGTCAACTGTTATTTTTTTTCTCCTCCCTGTAGAAAGATTGTCAAAAAAGTAAAAAAAAATCTATCAAATGTGGTCTTTAGCTAATTATACCAGGAAGCATTATGATACATTAGCAAAAGGCAGAGTTGTTCTTGTTTTCCTGGAATACTTGTTTTTCTACATCCAAATCTGCAACTGACCTTATGCAATGGTAAAATATGTGGGTCCCAGGAATAAATGGCAATCTAGGTGATAACAAGCCAACTCAAAAATCAAAGTAAGAGTTTCACCAAATACTTTCAAGATATGGTAGTGCAAGTAGGAATGATTTGAGGAGCATTTAATAAGATAAGGCAAAGAAAAAAGGCAATTAAATATCTTCATAAAACAGTTATTTTATATCAGCTTAGTTTTTAGAGGTACTGGTATTGGCTGTACTTGGTAAGGTTCTTAATGAGTCTACAAAGATCTTTAGAAGACTTCCAAAAACAGTAGTTAGAAGAAGTCTAAAAATGTTTGGAAAGGACTTAACAGGATTCTAGAGGTTTGGTTAGCAAATTCGAATGACTGCTAAAAAAGAGATTTCAAGCCAGGAACTGGCTCACTCCTGTAAACCTACTTGGGAGGCTGAGAACTGAGGATCTTGATTCAAAGCCATCACAGGCAGGAAAGTTCTTGAGACCTTTTTTTTTAATTGTTTTTTCTTGTGAAAATACTGTACAGAGGGGTTATAGTTACATGATCAAGGTAATGAGTACATTTCTTATCCAGCATTGTTGCCTCCTCCTTTGTTTTTCCCCTACCATCCCTTCCCTCCCACCTCTCCAACAAGCTACTCAAAAAAGTGAGAAGTGGCACTGTGGCTCAAGTGGTAGAGTGCTAGTCTTGAGCAAAAAGAAGCTCAAAGACAGTGGCCAAGCCCAGAGTTCAAGCCCCAGGACTGGCAAAAAAAAAATAGATTTCATTAGTTCCTCCATATGATGAATGCTAGAGAAGGCAGTAAAAGTTCCTACTCTTTTCACATTCTTTGTACCTAAACTATCCCTAATTATCACCTTTATTCTTAATGCTATCTTCAGTGTTGCATATTAGCCTGGGCAAAATTAACTTGTTTAAATAAGATTATTTTTTGGTTCTGTCATGTTTAAACTGGAAGAATGATAATGGAGATTTTAAAGAGTGGATTGAAAGCAGGAAGCACAAAAGATGAGGGGAGATAATTAAACCATTCATTTTTTCCTTTTTTATGTTTTTTATTGTAAAAATTCTGTGCAGAGGCGTTACAGTTACATGAGCAAGGTACTGAATACATTTCATATTGAGCATTGCTGCCTCCTCCTTTGTTTTCCCCCTATCATTTTTTCTTGAATGGATGAATTTGATTTAGACTGTTACATGAAATTTCAGAACTATATTCACTAGTTTTAACTGTGTCCAGACAAGAAAAACAGGGAAAGCTTCTGAAGGAAGATTGAAACAGCATTTTGTTTTCTGTTCACTGACTATATAAGAAATAAATGGCTAATGAATCAATCATCTGATTATTACTATGTTGCTTTCAATTACAATAGTTATCATATACTATTCAAGTACTGGCTCTTTCCTTCCAAGTTTCAGTAAGAGAAAACAATCCAATTTCTTACTCAGTTTCATTTTTGTTTCAATTTCATGGTAACTTGTATAAACCATATGGGCACCACACATCCAGCTGTGATTGAATTCCTAGTTTCACTGTTTTCTGGTGTTTTTTTTTTTTCAACTCAATAATTAAAGGCAAATTCCTGTAGATGGAAATATTTGGAAAATGTCTGCCAATGTAAGTAGTTCCCAAGGGATAAAACTTTAAAATTATACTTTTAATTAGGGTCCCAAGTGTTCACAGATTTTTTTCTAGTAAATATTATTTTTGCAGTCTGATTAAGTACTTGACTCTCATGAATGGATCTAATTCTTCATTATACTTCAAGGGAGAGGAGCCTGAAGGGTCTTCTTACATATGAAAATGAATTATGCTTGTCCTACTTGCTCTATTGAGCTAGCTTTGTTCAGTGAAAGGATTAGTCAAATAGCAAAGCTTTTTCATATCCCTGGAAATTAGGGCAGCCCCCTAGCTCTCTGCTCCCAGGATGAAATTGGTTTGTAAATGTAATAGGAATCACTGAGACAAAACTTTTCCCACCCTTTCCTTACTGAAATCTAGTCCTATTGGTGAACAAGATGGAAGACAAAAACAGGTATATGTTTTCCCATCTTAACCTCCCAAAATAGACATTTCTCACAATTGTTTGCTTGTGTAATTTCATGACAAAATCTAGAAGGCTTTACATAAAATCTTCTAAATCATTAGAATACATTTTTTCCATGAAGAACACTTCATTTTTACCAGATTTGCTGCTTGTAAACTATTTATTATGTGTCAAATAATTGAATTTAAATACATTCCAAAGTTTATATTGGTGAGTTTTTTGTTCATAAAGCCAAAGTTTGTACTGGAAGGAAAATATCATTTTGACAAAGTCTCTCCAGCAAAAACACAGGAAAATTTATTATACAAACTAATTAAATAACTTGGACCAAAGATCCAGACTTTACTTACTAAGTATAAGAGCTTTAGGCAGGGTTTTTTCCCCCTCTGACTAACAATTAACACGTATTCCAGTATGTATTCTCTGGGCTTGAGCATATGACTGAGCATGATTGTTTCTTTTCAACTGGCAGCTGTGATGTCATTTATAAACGTAACTAGTTTTCCAATCCTGCCTTCACTATTACAATTATTATCTGGATCTCTAAGTGGGTTTAATTTAGGGAAAGTCATCTATCAAACCTAGATTTGGAATATGTCTCATTGTTCTCATTGAAGTTCCAAGGTCTCTGCCACCACATGTACATGTGGTTGTGTTGTCTGATACATAAAATGGAGTTAAATATTTGAACGGCATCTTGTCTGTCAACAGTTAAGGACTACATCTGTGAGAAACATACTGGTATCTCTTACATCAATGACTTTTCTTGAGCTCAATAACATTTATTCCAGTGTTAGAGTGGCTGAAGAGTTGGTTTTTGAAGTCTAGTTCATTGGGGTTAAATAACTAGTGAGAAATTTTAGCAGTGAGGAAGGAAAAATAAAGAGTGGAAACTCTTTTTTACTAAAATTAGAAAAGAGAGAAAATGGCATTCATGGAACGCAAACTTGCCTTTAGGATGATTTTTTTTTAGAAGTCATTTTTAGCCAAGCACTGGTGGCTTTCACCTGTGATCCTAGCTATTCAGAAGACTGAGAACTGATTATTGAGTTTTGAATCCTAGAGAGTCTTATTTTAAATTAATCAGCAGAAAATCAGAGATGGAGGTGTGGCTTAAGTGGTAGGGCTAGCCAGGAGCCGACAAAGCTGAACATGAGGAAAGAAAGGAAATTTAAAAAGGAAGAAAAAAGAAAATCCAATTATCTGTCAATAGTTATCAGATTCTCCTGTTCATTAGTTCTCATTGGTTGAATCCATAAATCTCCATAAGTACTATTTAGTAGAATTCACATTTTAACCCCCAAATTTTTTAGGTTTGAGAAAGAATACATTCTTTCAGATTTTAATAAGAAATAAGAAAAAATATTGACTCCAATGACTGTAGGTTCTGTTGGTTTATGTAAAACACAGGTCTGACTCCAGAGCCAGATGGTTAGGTACTAACTAGGAACTAATTTTTTTTTTTTTTTTATTATAAAGCTAATATTTGATAGTTTTATTATTTTTTTTTTAAATTTTATTTTATTTTATTTGAGAACATACTGTACAGAGGGGTTACAATTACATGGGCAGGATAATGCATACATTTCTTACCAAGCATTGCAGCCTCCTCCTTTGTTTACCCTTCACCTCCCTTCCCGGCCTCCCCCCTCCCTCCCAACCAATCGTACCCCCCCTCCCCCCCCCCCCACCGACATTGTAAAGCTGGTTTTGACATGACATTTTGTACTTCTCATTGTTGCAACAGGTCCACCTGAATACTAGGAACTAATTTTGCACACATACTAGCTGTGCAAAGTAAAGCAGGAATGCAGCTCTGTTTATACCTATCATGAATGTTTGGAGATATAACTGTTCTGAACACTGAGAGTGTCTGTGATCATCAAACGGGTCAATGTAGCAACATGCTTAGGATGATACCTGGTAAACACTAAATGTTTAATACATATTACCCATTAGTGTTTGTCATTCCAAGGTGAGCAATATGAACACTGTCAACTTGTGTTCAGCTATCCATATTTATTTATAGGACTCGATGCATTTACATACATTAAAAAGGTTCTAAGGAATAATGTGTAGCAGAAACATACAGTTCTAGAAAATAGAATTGTAACCAATCTTAGGCACCAAGATACAGTGACTCACTTAGGCAAATATTCTGATAATCAAGCTCAATATATCCCTATGTTTTGATTTACAAAGTCATTTAATTTTAGATAAAGATATAGACATCTGAGGTCACCATGCTCTGAAGAGATGGGGGCTTCGGTGTTCCGCGCCCTCAGGAATTTCAACCTGGAGAACCGGGCGGAACGGGAGATCAGCAAGAGGAAGCCCTCCTTGGCTCCCAGACACCCTTCCACCAAGAAGCGCCTGGTGGAGCAGATGAGCCATCATCCAGAAATTGAACGAGAAGTTACTAACAAGGATAACAAGCTGCACTCATTTTTGAAAGATATATACGTTGATTCCAGAGATCCCGTGTCTTCCCTGAAGGTAAAAAATGTTCAACCAAAGCCAGTGCCAAAGGAGTTCAGAATGCCGAAAGACCATCACTCAGAAATGAATGTCACCAGCATTCCTAAAGGCAAAATTTCCATTGTAGAAGCACTGACACTTCTCAATAATCATAAACTTTATCCAGAAACGTGGACTGCTGAGAAAATAGCACAAGAATACTACGTAGAACTGAATGATGTAAATTCCCTTCTCAAATATTTTGTTACTTTTGAAGTCTTTTCTCCTGAAAATAAGAAAGCACTACAATCAAAGTAAGAACATCACAAAATGACTTTTTATAGCTCTATGCTGTTTATCCCTTCTATTCAGCCTACTAAATTGTACCAGTCACAGTGTGTCTCATGCTCCCAAGTCTGAGAAGACACTATTGAGTTCAGTTTCTAGGATTTGTTCCTAGGATATATTTTGTTATAAACATTAATTTGATTTAAAAAAATAGACATCTCTGATTTAAATATATATATGCACTAAGAAATATTTAGTTAGGTGTAGAGAGCTGCATGCAGCCGCTGCACCTTGAAGATGGCGCCGGCCTCCGCCCTCCGCCTTCCCGATGGCGAGTGGTCTCTGTGGTAAACAACTCCTTATATGGCTAAGCCATGGAATCTGGCTTGCTTCTGTGCACCTGGACCTATTGATGGCTCTCACGTGGCTTATCAGGGTTGGCTACCCAGGGGGTACTTAAGGCTGTGGGGGATTCTCTCCGGGGTCAGAAGATTGCTCAAAGGTCCTGAATAAACTGCAGAGAGAAGAGCTCGGTGTTGCGTCTTCCTTGCTAGTCGAGGTGGTCGTGACAGGGTGGTGGCCCGTACAGGGACTCAGCCACAACCTCAACGAGGACTCAGAACTCTCTGCGGTCAGGGTGGTGCACCGGTAAGTTCCCAGGTAAAGGGGGAATCTGCGACAAGAGGGGGGGGGGATATTTGCTCTTCTCTGTAGATAAAGAGAGAGCGAGAACCCGGGGCTAGTCGGTAGAATAGCCAAAAGTAAAAGTAAAAGATTGTTTACCAGGTTAAGATTTTTAAAACATGGGCGCTTCTTCTTTGCACCCAATGTTTTTGGCTCTCAATGAGCTACTGCACTCAAAGAAGTTAAAAATAAAAAAGAGTACTTTAGAGAGATTTTTGGATGAATGTGACATCGTTGCCCCATGGTTCGCTGTCTCTGGAAGCCTCACGGTGGCCTCTTGGGAGAAACTAGGGAGGGACCTAGATTTTGCCTCTGAACAAGGAACGCTTAAGAGCCGAGTGAGACCAATATGGAAACTGATAAGAGGCTGTCTTGAGGACCAGAGCTGCAGTGAGGCGGTAGAGAATGGTCAGGCCGCCCTAGAAATGCTGCAGGAAGAAAGATCGGAAAGGGCAGGCAGCGAAAAGGGGAAAAGCAGGAGGGGGGTATACCCCGATCTTGCCGAACTAGAGACCTCTGAGTCTACAGACTCAGAGGAACTACAATCACTCATAGAACAAATAGAAAAAACAAAGATAAGAAAGAAGAGGAAAGGGAAGGAGAGAGAGGACCCAGATAAAGACGAATGCACGCCCTCTGTGAGCCGCGCCGCACCCTCGGCCCCTCCGCTCTATGCGGAGGACCCCGGAAGTGGCAGCCCCGGCTGTTCTTTCAGCCCAGACGTGTGGAAAGCGGTCAGAACCGAGTTACATCTAGCCTGTCCAATATTTCAGGATCCACAGGGACAGCGGTATCATGCATGAACCCTGAGATTTTAAGGTGATAAAATCTTTAGCTGAGTCTGTGCGGACATACAGAATCACGGCCTCCTTTACTGTGGCCCAGGTGGAGCCCTAAACAGACACTGTATGACGCCCAGTGATTGGAGTGGGCTCGCACGAGCTTGTTTGAGCCCAGGTCAGTATTTAGATTGGAAGGCCTTTTTGATTGTATTTGCTAGTGAAGAGGCTGCAGCCAATCAGGCTGCGGGAAACCCAGCTTGGGACAGAGATATGCTGCTTGAAAGGGGCTGGGAAGGTGGCTCAGTGGTAGAGCGCTTGCCTTGCATGCCTGAGGCCCTGGGTTCAATTCCCCAGCACCACATAAGCAAAAAAGAAAAAAAGCCAGAAGATTGCTCAAAGGTCCTGAATAAACTGCAGAGAGAAGAGCTCGGTGTTGCGTCTTCCTTGCTGGTCGAGGTGGTCGTGACAGTTAGGAACAAGAAGGAAGGAAGCTGAAGTTTCTAGTTAATTGAAGCTGTATACAGTCATAGGAAAAGAAGATCTCATTGAAAGAAAACATTTTTTGTGCATAAAACAATTCAATGATGAGACCATTTAGCTATATCCATCCAACATTAAATTGCCTTGGGGCACATGATGCTAAAAGAACTATAAAAAAATTAATAAGCTGAAGACTATGAAACATAGTCAATCAAATTGTGAAGATAACAGAGACTACCTCTTGTTTTCTTTCTTTGTCCTTTCTGCCTTGTATTCCTTCATTTGCCAGCCTTCTAGAAAGTTCCTCATCCCTTATCAATAAATTCTGGTTCAAAATCATTAACAATAACTTGTCTCCTACAATCCAAATATGAGTCAATACTTCTCCGATAGATCCAGACCTTTATACAGCAATGATATTTTATGTTCACATAATGGTACAGTAAAATTCATGAGGCTTTGTCTGAATTCCTTGTGTCTGTAAATGGGAAAAGGTTGATTGCCTTAGGAACTCACTATAACCTTTGATGTTTTATTTTTCTTCTTCATTATCCAATCCACTGCTAAAATCTTTAGAATTTCCTCTGTAACATTTTATCTCTCTTTTCCATTCAAATGTCATCATTATCCTTCTATTATAAATCTTTATGGGTTCATTTGTTATAGATTTACTTCCTGGGCAAACTGAAAATGAGAGAGCTGATAAGACATTTGGTTCAATGTTAGTAGTTCTTAATCTTTTTCTTCCCCCCCCATCTTATAATCAAATCCATATTCCACAGCAGTTGTCATTTCAAGTTGGTTATGTTCATAGCCTTTCTTTTTTCAAAACCTTTAAAAATGACTTACTTATGTTGGGTGTCTTCAACAATTACATAATCACATATGTGCTGTTCTATGTTCAATCCAGTGATACATTTCTATGTACCCCTACAGGAATGAACTATTTTTCTTTTCTTCCCTACATACACAAACACAGCCAAACAACTGAGTGGTGGGACAATTAGTAGGCTCTCTACCAACAAAACAATTTAACTGGTAGAAGTGGTTATTTCAAAAATTAAAAATATCTAGAAATTATCCTAAAGGAGTATATCAGATGGAGAAATGTACATTTGAAGAAATCTACTAATCTCCAGAATAGCAAGAAAACTAAACTCCAGAATAGCAAGAGTCCATAGTGTATGAGTTATAATCTACTCCATTAATCACTACATCCCATCAGATCTGTGTTAGTGAAGCCACATGCCAGAAACCCCGCTTCATAGTTCGCGTCAAGAAGGCAAGGCTCTCTTTAGCTCTAGCTCTTAGGCCATCACATTGTGGAAAGGGCAGATATTTCTCATCTCATCTCCCCTCAACTCTTGTCTACAGAATTTCTGCTTGAGGTAGGAGCGTCCAAGAGGGGCAAGCTTCTCTTGTTCCACCTAGTCGCATTGTAGGATGGAAGAATAGCAGGTTGAGAATACTGAGCTTTTGATTATCTCTCCTTCTGCATAGGAGCAAGGCTCCATGCCTGGAGGAGTTGCTAGCACCTCTCCATGCCTACACAGAGTTGGCATAACACTTGAAGAAAACTGTTCATTACTCTCAACTCTAGGAAATTGGTACAGGATTTCAATACAAGGAGAAAAGTGAACTATAAAAGCAAATACTTTCACAACTCTGCTCTGAACTTAGATTTTATTTAGGATAATGAGAAGAGAACTCCATCCTTAAGTTCATTGTCTAAAACGAAGAGAGATAGTTGTAAGCCTTAAAGTGAGACTAGCAGAGCTGATAAAGATAAAATGACTGGACAGCCAGAAATTTAAAAGGGAACCAGGGAAAAAAGAGGATCAAGATGAGCCTGCCTGAGACTGTAGATAATTCCAGAGGGTGGAAAGACTGTTCGTAAGCTGCATCTACTCAGACACAATAAGAACAGAACATAGGAAAAAATTTAAAAGCATTTCTAAGTCACTCAAACTAAATTCAAGCCGATGAATGAAGAGGAGAGGCTTTACGGACATGGGGGGTGGGGGTGGGGGAGGTGGAAGTTAGGAAATAAATGCACATAATAGTACATACATGCATACATACATACATATATGGCATTCATAGTAGCTCTACTGATGCCTATTCCCACCCCCACCAGCAAGAGCAGAGTAGGAAGCCCAGACTTCTTCTCTTGCCAGACTATACAGGCACCTGCCGGTCCTACCCTTCTTTTAGGTGGTACCAGAAGATAAAGAGAGAGTCAGTGTTTTCATGAAGAGTAAGGTCCTTCTTTCCTGTGTGGTTTAGTTAGTGGAAAGGGGAAGTCCTTTCATTCCTCCCAACTAAAAGGACTTCAGAGGAGACCTTACTATCAGTAAAAGAGAATATTCCTCTTGAAAGTTAATGAAGACTAAATGTAGATCCTGTTTTTCTATGCCTTCCCTTCTCCATCCCTTCCTCTGCTAGAGCTGTGCTACAGAAATCCAACTTTTAAAAAAAGTTTAAATAGTATCCAGAGTCTCCAAATATAATGTCCCAAATATACAGGTTCCAACTAAAAATTTCAAACAGAAAATACTATTGTATCAAGAAGTAAGACAATCTCAAAGTTAAATAAACAACACTACCGAGATGCTATTGGTGTTAGAATTAGGTGACAACAGATATAAAGTGGCCATCATCAAAATGCTTTGACAATTGTGAATCGACTTAAGAAATGGAAAATCTAGAAAGTCTTAGCAAAGTAATAGAAGATAAAAGAACCAAATACAATTTTAGAATTAAAAAAATACTTAAACAACAACAAAAATGATCAGTAGGTACAAGGACAGAATAGAGAGGAGAAAAGAAAGAATTAGTACACTGGAAGAGAGAACAACACTGTACAACACAGAGAAAATAGACTGACATAATATGTAGTGTTATCGGAGTCTCAGAAGAGAAGAACAAAACCTGAGCTTAAAAATACTGGAAAGTATAATAGCTAAAAACCTTCCTAATTTGATGGAGACAAATTAAAATTTTAAGAAAATGATCAAGCTCCAAGCAGATTTAGCTCATGGATGTCCACCTTGAGATTATATGATAACTTTAAGCTTCTGAAAATTGTACCACTTAAAAA